AATTGTATCCCGGTTGTTTACTGTTTTTTTCTGTCTTCACCCAAGTCCTCCCTTCGCATCGCCATGTCTGGGTTTGGGAGAGGCAAAGGGAAAGGTAAAGAGTAGAAGAAAGAAAAAGAGGAGATGAAAGAGGATACGCGGGAAATTAAATGTATAATAAGGGAAGGGATTTTTGCTTTATCTTTTTTCTTCTTTCCTTTTCGTCTTTCGTTTCCCTTCCTTTCCTCTCCTCTCTTCCTCTCTTTCTTATTTTCCTTGCTTCTTCCTCCTTTTCTTTCTTGCTTTCCTTCCTTCCTTCCTTCTTTCCTTCCTCCCTCCCTTCCTTTTGTACTTTCCTTCCTCCCTCCCTCCCTCCCTCCCTCCCTCCCTCCCTTCTTTCCTTTTTTCCTTGCTCCCACTGCTTACCTTTTCCTCTCTCTCCTTTATGCCCATCTTTATCCTCGTCCTCCCTTTTCCCCGGAGTGTCCGCGGGGCGTCAAACAGCCTCTTCATCCGGGTAATTATTATTCGCTACAGAATTAATTACCTTCGCTGTACCTCCTTAACGAGATTCGTTTGCCCCTTTGAGTCTGTATTGAAAATCCTCTGATATTTACCTGTTCTACTTACAACGGTAATTCTTTCCTGGCGTCACTTAGTCCCTCTCTTTGTTTATTCGTCTTGCTGTATATCCGCGTGTGTAAAGTTAGTCTCTCTTTCTGGCTTTCTTGGTCTTTTTCTTCTCTTCCCTTCTCGTCGCCTTTCCTCTCCTCCTATTCACTTTTTTTTTTTCTTTTTTTCTTCCCTCCCCCCCTCTGTGTGTGTGTGTGTGTGTGTGTCTTAGGTTGTACACTAAATAAATATAACCCATATTTCTTCTGAAAATTTATTCAAAACAAAGAGAAAACATTCAGGCGACACATGATGAAAATGATTTATCAGTAACGAGAAAAAGAAAGACAAGAAAATAAAACTAAGCAGGAAACAAGCGTAAAGGAAAATAATGTATGACAGGTGCAGAAAAATACTCCTTCAGAGAGTCAGGAAGCACAGGAGGACGTCGAAAGAAAGAAAAAAATGATAAAAACTGTAAGACTGTGTGAGCAGGTTGTCCAACGGCAGCGGCTTCTTCACGACGGCAAGTACTGGCACACGGACCACAGGATCTCCCCGTCGCCCACGGTGTGGAACACGCTCTCGTGGTCCACGGCGATCCGCGATCCGTCGCCGCTCGCCTGCGAGTACACCCACGGCAGCTCGTTCATCAGCGAGCCGTCCACCCACGCCCACACGCCTCCCCAGCCTTCCGCCGAGCCGCCCACCCACGCGCGTCCGGTCGGAGCGCCGCCTGCAAGGAGCAAGGCTTCAAGGGGGCGCGCGAAGGAACGGGAGGAGTGAACAAAAGGAACACCAGGTGTATGCAATAAGTGATAGTAATAGTAAAGATAAGGCTAACGGTAGAGTGGTCTTACCGAAGTCCGTGCTTGCGATAAACGCCTTGAAAGCCTCCATGTCATGCGGCACAACAAGGTCGCCCTTGACCGAGGCGCGGCCGCCGCTCATGGAACGCGCGTGGAGGTGACAGCGCGATCTTGCAAACTCCCACTTGTTGCGCTCCTTCAATAGTGTCAAACAATACCTCCCGAAGCGCTTGTAAGGGTGTGGACAGTCTACGGGATGGAAACCCACGTTTCACTTTGTTTGTTTGTTTGTTTGAGGAATGACAAATTAATACATTAATAAATGTATTCTTACTACCAGTAGTATTGGCCATTATTAACATTCATTGACTCGAAAAGAGAAATCGTAAGTTACGTAGATATTACTCATATAAACGAATTATAAATAAAGGCAACCTGACAAACGAAGCTGCTCTTCCACACACAAAGGCACGCACACATACGCTTACATACCTCCATCTGGCGTCGTGTCATCAACGTTGGCATCGCCCTCGCTGCCTCTGCCGCCTGGAGGAGAGGCAGATCTCGCCCGCTCATCCCCGCCCATGCCTGCGCCCATGGCTCTCACTTCACTGCCGCCCTCACCCACTGCTCCGTGACCGGCTGCCGGGCACCTGCCGCTCGCCACCGCTATCATCTCCGCGCGGAGGACGTTGAGGGCTGGCGAGGGAGTGGGGTCAGGTGGGGGGGGGGGAGAGCGTACGTACAAGGGGAGGAGGAAGGATGGAGGGAGGGAGGGAGGGAGAAAGGAAGAAAGGGAAGACGTAAGGGGAAGAATAAGTGAGACAGAGGTAGAGAAAGGAAAAGAGAAAAAGACAGACAGTTATAAAGTCCCCCCCCCCTTGCCCTCCACTTATTGTGCCAATCGCCAGGCTGTCGGGCATTTCCTCAGCAGCGCGAATTTTATGCAACTCTCTCATTATCGAGGACAAAAGGAGTTTTATCTTCCCTTCAGTTTTATGCCATTAATTGCAAAGATGAAGGCGAACGTTATAATGATGATAACGCCAATGTCGATGATGATGATGAAGTATAAGTGATTGTGATAGTAAAGATGACAAAGATGATACTGATTCTTGTTATTGATTTCATGCCCATCCTTATTCCAATTTTCATTTTTATTCATCATTGTTATCATTATTATTATCATCATCATCATTATCACCATCATCACCGCCATTATCATCATCATCATCATCATCATCATCACCATCATCATTATTCACTCAAACCACTTCCTACCACCAAAACAGCGCAAGAGGAACGTAACAAACCAAGACATGCCCTGATAACAGAGAGAACAGAAGGCTTAGATGAAGAACGAAAGGTTCAGAAAGTTAAATGAAACCTTTTTACACTGATTTCGAAAACCTGAAACAGAAACTCGCACTCGGTCACATCAGCTAGCAAATCATTCCATAAGCTGATCAATACACTCGCCAAACACTGGTAATCATGGTGATACTTAGTGACCGTAATAACAATGATGGTGATTATCATAGCTGTGATGATTAGGTCTTTAATTGGTATTGATTATGGTGGTTATGGTGATGATGATGGTGGTGGTGGTCATGATGATAATAATGATGATAGAATAGATAAAATAATCATAACAATGGTGATATTGATAATGATGATAATAGTGATGATTATGATAATGATGATAATGGCAGTGATGATAATGATGATAATAATAATGAAAATGATAATAATGATGATGATGATGATGGTAATAATGATAATAATGATGATAACAATAATAATAACTGTAATAATGATAACAACAATAATAATGTTAATGAGAATAATAAAGATACTAATAATAATGATAATGATCATAATCAGAACAACAGTAGTGATAATAATAGTGAACAGGAGTAGGATAAGACAAAACAGAAAACAGCAACATAGATTCATGGGTTTCCAGTGAAGCAACCATTTGCATTTGTATGAAGCAGATTTACTGGGCTAATGATGAGAAAGGTGATGTTAGCCTCATTAATGACTCATTACACGTAGTGGAGAAAGGGGGAGATAAAAGGAATTAGGGAAATCTAAGAATGGTAGAGGAATGTGAAGAAGAAAAAGAGAGAGGGAAGAACAAGGGAAAGACAAGAACAGGGAGGAATGGAGAACGTGGAAGGAGGAGAAGCAGAGCAAATGTGAAAGAGCAGGGAAAAAGAGAGAAATGGAAGGGAAGGAGAAGAATGGGCGACGACACTAAGAAGGAAAGGGAAATGGCAAGAATAAAAGAAAAACGGAGAGAAAATAAAAGATGGAGAGTGGCAGCGAGAAAGTAGAAGGGAAATGTAGTGAGCAGAGAGAATGAAGAAGAAGAAAATTAAAAGAAAAGAGATAAAGGGAAGAGAACAAACAGAGGAAAGGCCATAATCGTGAAGGAAAAAAACAACACCGGATTCCCTTCTACGTCTCCTCCATCACATTCTCTCATATACTTTATCAGTGATTACTAAATTCTCTCTGTGGTATAAATCATACCCGCGAACTTACTATAACAGTACCAGTGACATTCAATATTTATCTAGCCTATCTTACTCATCCGGTATGCGTGAGCTCATGGGCAGTAATCAGGAGGGACCGGTCCGCTCTGGCGATACTGTAGCCGTCCCTAACTGCCCCTCCGAGCGCTCGTCTCCTCTCTCTGGCTCTCTAATGTCAGTCTGTCTGTTTCTCGCTCTCTCTCTCTCTCTCTTTCTTTCTTTCTCTTTCTCTCTCTCTCTCTCTCTCTCTCTCTCTCTCTCTCTCTCTCTCTCTCTCTCTCTCTCTCTCTCTCTCTCTCTCTCTCACTTTCTCTCTCTCTGTCAATTTCTCTCGCTCTCTTTCTCTCTCTCTCTCTCTCTTTCTTTCTCTCTCTCTCTCTCTCTCTCTC